AGTTGCTGTGTTTTGGAGAGAGCAGAAGTTTTCCTCCGTTTTATAGTTTGAATCACATTTCTACGTGCAGGTATGAGAGAGCTAGGTGACTCAGAAAAAAGGTGAAATTTTGTAGAAAAAAGGTGAAATTTTGTAGAAAAAAGGTGAAATTTTCTGGGTTTTTAAAGAAGAAAATTCCAATGCATTCCTAATGCATTATTTATTCCCAGTATTTTGGGAATAACTTTGGGAAAAATTGGAATTTTAACACCAAAAGTCATAGCACCTCTTTCGGGATCAAGACGCACGTTTTGATGTATATATTACCAGGGTTTTCTCAAAGCTGCGGGACGAGTTACGCGCCAAAATTTGGCGGAAGAATAATAATAAGCCCGAAGGAATATTAATAGATGCCTTGGGGCTCCGCCCCGAGGCACTCCTCTCAGCTATTCTAGCTGTAGAGGAGTGCCTCAGAGCTGAGCACCCGTGGCACTAATTAATGAAATCATATGCAAAATTATGGCTTTATTGCAATATTTTACATTCTCACACTGCTTTTACTATTGTTTGACATTAAATTTCAAATTGTGGTAAAAGTAAAACATTTCCCCCTTAGAGTATTGGCCAAAAAGATAAATAAACTAGAGAAACCTGCCATCTTAACCAGTTATAATGTAATTTTGTGGTACTGTGAACTGATTTAACACCTAATCACTCAGTTAAATAATGGGACACACTTGGAGTTAAAACTACTGTATAGTTCAAGCCCAGCTGCCCAGGCAATGGATGGAACAGATATTGTCTGGTTTCTCAAATGAAAGTCTAAAATGATGAACCCTCTGCTGTTTTCCAGAGGTCCATGGTGTGTCGACTCAGAGGCCGATGTTCTGCGACATCCACAAACAAGAGCCACTGAAGCTGTTCTGTGAGACCTGTGACCAGCTGACCTGTCGCGACTGCCAGCTAGTAAAGCACAAGGACCACAAGTTCAGTCCCGATTTACAATATAAAGTCACATCATAATGTTTATATACAGATTCAATCACCTGAGTGTCAATTTCAGTTTTGTTTGACATTACACTCAATAATGTTGTTCAGATTTGTGTAATTAACATAAAAGTAACTATGTGACATTTGATGTTGCATAGATAAGCCATACAGTATATTATCATACTAATATTGAAGTTGAAGTCTTTTCAAGCAAGGTACTATATAGTATATCCCAATTGAGGAGAGGCAGGGATTAATTACAGTAACAGGGCAGAACACTAACATTATGTAATCAACATTTACTTCTTATATTGTATCCACTGACTTAATGTTCTTGTTTGATTAGTTACCAGTTCCTTGAAGATGCTTATAAAAACCACAAGCAGCACATGGAGAGTATGACCCATCAGCTGCAGGAGAAGAAGAAACTGATTGAAGAGGTGTCAAACTCCATAAACAATGGGTATGTATTCCCACATACCACAATATTACACATGTCAGAAAATGCTAAATGTAAACAAAAGAGGGAGACACATGGTATACAGAAGTGCTTGAAAAAGACATTTTGGTCTGTAGTATGATGTCTTGAAGAACTGGTAAATTATTCACTTCCAGTAATAATGAGATGTCTCCAAAATTTGTTATTTGATACTGCATATAATTTGTTAAATTTGAATATTTATTGACAGTTGTATGTTTGGCAGACTGTTTCAGGTTGATCAAAATCGTGCGTCTGTTCATAATGAAATAAAGAAGTCCATCTGCAGTTTGATTCTGGAGATAAACAAAAAGGGCAAGATGCTGATTAATCAACTTGAGGTATGAAAAAAGATTTCAAATATATTACAAATACAACAAAAACAATGATATTCATCACATTATGGAGACCTGTAACTTGCTGTGGTGTTGTTTCCAGAAGAACATTACTTGCTTGCAAGCTCAGTCGACTTGTCTCACCCTGAGGCCCAGAGCACATCCCCTCCAGCTGTTTGAACACTGCAGATATTCACTTATTCATGTTTTCCAGGCTGCAACAAAGGATCATGAGACCGTCTTGCGAAAGCAACAGGAGGACATCGGCTATCTATCCAGACACCTGGATCATGTCATCAACTTCACCAAATGGGCCACAGCCAAGAACGGGGGCACGGCCCTCTTGTACTGTAAACGTCTGGTGAGGCCTCATCATTTATCCACTCAACAGTATCTCATCACGGCTCTTTGTTTTCCCAACGTGAAGCTCAGCTCAGCTCTGAGAGCCTGTTAAGAGCCTGGCCTGTCTTGCACGTGATGAAGTGGGAACATATGCCTTTTGTAACACACAAGTGTGCTCCTCTAAAAATTATTAATAACATCCCTTCTGTTTCAGATTCTGTTTCAGATTGGAAACCTCCTGCGGGCAAAATGCAGTACCTCGTTTATACCACAGAGCAGTGTACGCTTCCAATGTCGATCCTCTTATTGGGCCACGAATATTGATCTGGGTAAGACATAAATATATAAGACATAAAGATGATATTAGACATAAATGACTCTGTTATAGAAGCTAATTTAGAAACTTAGAGAATTGATTCCTTTTTTTATTTGTCACTTTTTCTTTTTTCGTAGTTTTTGATACCTTTAAACCTCACGGAAATGTGACTATAGTGTATTATATCTCCTATTTGACTTTAAATACCAACTGATTCAACAGTTATAGTCTCTAAACAACATCAAAATGGACTAGTGAACATGCTATACTCTATGTATCTGGAAACTGCATCGGCAGAGGTTTTCCATCAGAAACCAGTCCCTTTTTCATTCCACTGTTTTCCCAAAATCGCTTTTTATTGTTGTTGGCATACAGCAATTTGGGACTTGTCATCTCATCAAGAGGATGTGGGCAGTGGATGCTTGATTCTGAAATGGAATAAATTTGAAATTTTTCCATCACTGCCACTGTCTTTATGCAAATCACATGGTTCTCCCTTGTCATGTGGGTGAAGGATGCTGAATTGGGAAGAAAGCTCAGAAGGACTCAGAGGTTCAGAGGGCTTAATAGTGGCCCAAAATGCCAGGCAGTTAAAGCAACTCATTTAAGCCTGACAATTGTGTTTAAAATCTGAGCTTAAGCAAATATTCTGTTAGCTAATTCATTGTGAAAAGTAGCTTTTTATATTGGTTATATATCATTGTAAGTTAAATATCTTTGGGTTTTGTCAAAACAAGCCATGTGAACTTGGCTGAGCACAAGCACAATATAAAACATTTTCAACAGATTAATAATTGATAACTAAATAGATAAAAACATGATTAGTTGCAGCCCCACTTGACATGTTATTACTCCCTTAATACTGACCAAAACTTTCCAAAACTTTTTCCCTATTATTGCCCAAACCTTCTCTTCCCCAGAGTTTTCTGGAGGAGTTTTGTCTGTGTTGGTTGTATTTTTCATCTGTACTTGTTATGCTCATCCAGTCTGTGTGTGTGTGTGTGTGTGTTTGTCTGTCTGTCTGTCTGTCTGTCTGTGTGTGTGTGTGTGTGTGTGTGTGTGTGTGTGTGTGTGTGTGTGTGTGTGTGTGTGTGTGTGTGTGTGTGTGTCTCTGTGTGTGTGTGTCTGTGTGTCTGTGTGTGTCTGTCCCCAGGCTCTTTAGTGGTGGAGAGTGTACCAGGCCACCAGCTGGTTGGTTTTCAGGGTATCCCTCATCAGCTGCCCCACCCTGGGCAAGGACCCTCAGGCTCACCCAACAGCTTTGCCATGGGAGCTTCCCATAATACTCTGGCTCAGCTCCAGATGCAGGTGGACAAGCTAAACCCGCAGGCCCACTGGCAGCCGCAGCCACCTCCTCCACCGTGGACATGGTACCAGAGTGTCCGACTACAGCGAACTGTCCCAGGGCCCCTGCAGGGAGGCTCTCCCTCCCACAGTATGCCCCCACAACCAGGCCGTAGATTCATTGTGCCTCCTCCCAACCACATCAGCCCAACTAGCACCTTACCCAGCCCTGGGTTTACGCCCCAGGTTAGTGTGTCTTTCTGCGTGTGTGTGTATGAATGTGTGTGTGTGTGTGTGTGTGTGTGTCTGTTTGACTGACAAGCTCTCTTAACAAGCAACGACAGCGGATGGCATTGTCCTAAATAGAGCTGACAGCCTTCACATCCTGGGCAATTTATGTCTTTCCTTGTCAAGACGGATTTTAGCCTTGGATGAGCTTATGACTCAAAATCATAAAATATAACAGCTAAATCTGCAGGAAAACAGCAGCCAACATGTGACAGAGGACAAACCCAAGTTTCCACAAGAAGGGGTTGATAATATCTCGTCATCCAAGTTGTTTAGTCTAGTTCACAGGGTGTTTTGGTTCCAGCACCGAAGTATAGGCTCACTCACAGGACAATACTGGCGTGTGAGGTGCACACATAAGTCGCGTCGCTCTGATGTGAACAAGCTGTTACAGCTGTATAATGAACTCTATAATGTTCCCTGTGGTAAAGAAATATACCAGCATTTTACTGCAAATCATGTACACTTAAAACTAGTGTATTTTTGTAGTCATGCTGCTGTAGGTTTTAAGGTTGTGTAGCGTTGTGGGTGGCCATTTGTTTTTCTTTATACTTCACTATGGTACTGTCAGCTTAAAGAAATTTAAGAAGAACTGACAAGTCTGTGATTTTAAATGAAGAACGTGTCTGCTTTTATTTTTGTCATTTTATTATGTCATAGTGCAGCTGTAAGCACAGATTAATTTGAAAAATGACCTCATAGTGTTTGTGTAATTTTAATGAATAGAAAAGCTGACATGATGCAAGTTTCAAATGTCTGCAAATTGATTTTCACACTGTTGTGAAATAAATTAAAACTAATGGTTTCCTGGAAAGTTTGCAAAGACTGTCAACTGCATTCTGTAAAAAAAAAAAGGATGTCGCATGACACTCCTGGTTTCAAATTAAATATCCATGAGTCAATAAGCAACACCCAAAGTTAGAGTTAGAAAATAAAACTCAATCAAACACTCAATGTGTTAGTGTGGGTTGATCAGATTTAATTGAGTAATGTCGTGTAAAATAAGAAAAATAAATAATAACTTTTGAATGTTTGTTATATGTAGTAAGTAAGTATGTAGGTCGTAATTGCTCATTGTAACAGGCTGATTGAGAAAATAGCTTTCCAGGACTTTTAAAGTGTGATTTAAAATGAAATTGTGCTATAGCCAAAAACAGGGAAAATGTTGGTATTGTCCTTATACTATTTGGTTTCATTCATTTTATCGGAAGAAAAGGTTAAAGCTAAGTGGATAAAAAACCTCAGATTTGCCTGAAGTTTTTGTTTATGGTTTAGTCCCACAATCAACCCACACAGCCAGTACCAAAGTACTGAAAATGCACCTTTTCATCTCCACTTCTAGCAGCACATGCTTGTAGATGCTGACAGGAATGTAACCTGACAATGATTGAAGCTTTTTTCTCTATCTCTCTGTGTCTCACTCATTCATCTGTAGTCTCTGAGGGGGATGGAAAGCAGCTCCAACTACCAAGCCAAGCCTATGGACATATTTTCCTCTTCACCTCTGTACACTAATATTACGCCACTGTCCATAAATGGTGGCGTGAGTTCATCCCAGTCACGACAGACAGTAAGTGACTCCCTCTATTGATGTACCTGAAGATTATTATTGCATTATTCCTGCTGTGGCGTAAATGACATGCACTGCTGTGTTTAGATTGAGCACACGTATCTGAACAGGAGGAACGATTCAGCCGGTCCGATATATATGCTGAAACCAAACTATCCCCAGAGTCTGCCACCTTCTTTGCCACACAGAAATGGTATGTCTGTACCATTTCTACTTTTGTATATTTTAGTGGCGTTGAGACTGTGTGTGTTGTTGTGTTAAGAAATTAATACACAAGCAGATTTTCATTCCTCTCTAGAGCAAGGACAGGAGATTTCACCAGGGTACGCTGCTGTATCCCAAGTGGAGAAACCAGGGTGAGAAGACAGCTGCACGAACGCACGAACGCACGCACGCACGCACACACACACACACACACACACACACACACACACACTCACACACACACACACACTCTCACGCACGCACGCACACACACACACATACACATACAAAAGCACAGATTATCTGAAAAGTAGACTGCTACCTTGTTATGACCTTAGTCCCTTTGTGCCATTGGTGTCTCCAGTGAATTTCACTTTGTTGTAATTGGCTCTCACTTTGTTCCCAAGGACGGTTTCCTGGAAACCCCCAGAAACACAACAGACCAGTGGAGCAGTGGGCTCAGCTGTGAAGAGAAGACGAAGGTCGTCACCAGGGCCCATCATTGTCATCAAAGATGAGCCAGAAGATGACAGCAGCTATGTAAGGAGACAATAAATTACTATAAGTTATTAGAGTATTCCATATATAGATTTGGTAGATACATTTATCCAAAGCTTGTTACTGTAGTAAGAGTACATTTTTTGCAAAACACACAGTATGAATTGTAGTGTATTGCAGCTTGGGTAGTATTTTTGGCTATTAGATGGTCGGTTATCACAGTGTACACACCAGAGTAATTGGGGAGATTTGGAAACAGATTATTGCTACAGTGAAGTTAGACGAGGCAAGAAACCTAAGCGGTTAGACGGGCTGTAAACAAGCCTGCAGTTTCGCCAGATTATCTAAACCTCTTTCTTTGGAGGTAAAAACAAAAGTGAGGGCACCTGAAATGCCAGTAATGATCCATTACTGTACAGAAAATCTATGTGCGGGCACAATTATGGAAATGACTGTATGGCAAAGTTGAACTGAGAGTTCAGTGTCATTTAAACAGATTTTCAGTTTCGGTAATAATTTTAGTCTTTGCTTTCTTTTTTCTTTTCCAAATAAGTTGAAGATTGTTTCAAACCCGTATGGTCTTCTGACTGCTCATGTTTCTTGGCCCATCTGTTTTCTTTTTAGTAATGTTACCACATCCCCAGATCTCAGCAATCAACTTGGTTGGTGCAGTACTATTATTACCAATAGGAATGCTGGTCCAAACTACAAAAACTAAAATCCAGTTTGTATGAAACCAAGAATTTCCCTTTAAATTTCTGAGTGTGACTGTGCTGTTGACCTTTATAGCAAATTAGCCACATCAGAGCGTTGTGTATAATAAAGATTCAGCTCAGTGAACTTTAACGTAATTTAGCCCATTTATGGCATATTGGTTGCAGGATTTTCAGAGCTTTGTTTGTGGATTTCAGGTACAAAACAACCAAAGAGCCAGCCTTCCTGACAGCACAGGTGAACACCCGCAAATCAGTGCCCAAGGTGAAGGCAACAAGGTCCCGACTCCTCTTCAAAGCACAGACCACAAACCCACCAGCCCTTCCAAGCCTCCGAGCAGGCCATGGGACCAGAGTAAGATCGAATCGCTGGGAGGAGAAGAGCAGGTAGAACAAACTCAAGCTCGGCTGGGAGACTCTGATGAGGTCTCGTGTGCTGTGTGTCAGAGTGGAGGAGAGCTGCTGTGCTGCGATAAGTGTCCCAAAGTTTTTCACCTTACGTGCCATGTTCCATCTCTCCTAAAATCTCCCAGGCAAGTTTGTCCACATGAAACTCATCTGTTGCTGGTCTCACATGAAAACCCCATAACTGGTGTTTTTTCATCCTTGTGTTTATTTTAGAATCAATAAATTGTGTTTGTCAGTGGAATGAAAAGAAAACAGACCTTTCAGCTTCTATGAACGAGGCTGTTTTTGACAAGTTGTTTACACATTTTGGCAACAGGAGGTTTTCATCTGACATCAGCATTACGCACTTGTTAATGTATGTTCCTTTTTTACGGACTTTTGCATTGAGTCTCTGGACTGTCTGTTTTCAGTCGGGAGTGGTTTTGCTCTTTCTGCCGTGACCTGTTCGTGCCTGAGATGGAGTATGACTGTGACAGCAAACCTGAGGCCAAAACAGTGAAGAAGGAGCCAGACTCTGAAGGAGGATTTCCCTCTGTGGACAAACGAGTCAGTACTTTTTTTTTTGTTACAATGCTGATTGTTGAACTGTAGTGCCTCTAATTAGAAATGGTTTTATTGCCTGAAAGTTAAAATGAAGGTTTAGCATCTTCAAGTAAGTCAGACTGTTTCAGCTCTGGTTTTACAGTTAGCAAACAACAATGCCTTTGTTTCATTCCATTCAGTTCAGTTTCAGTTCAACTCCGTAACTTTATTTATCCCAAGCAACACATATCATTATGGTATGACACCTCACCTCTGTAGGTATGTAAGTTTGTAGTTTGATCTGCTACAAAAACACTCATATCTTCATATGGGTAAGTGCTCAAATTCTGTCTCTATCCTTATGTACAACCATTTGGAGCTTGTTATAAGGTGCATACAATACGCCCTCCTCCTGCTCCCCCAGAGTCTAACCAAACCCACTTGCTGCCTGACAAATTCACCCCTTCCTTGTTTAATAGTCTGAATTTGAACATTAACACACCCAACACAAGAAAACTATTGTAACTAACTGAAATAAACCTTATGACAGCTAGCATGCTCCAATAAGAGCAAAACTTAAAGTGTGTCTAAAAGGAGTGAGTGTGTGATACTCATGAATAGTTTTTGGATCACTTTTATAAATCAACCTTAATAATAATTTGACTTGCACCCTTATTGATTTTATTGTTGTCTAGCAACTATATTGTATAGTAGAAGAATTACATGTAATGATAATAGCATCTGGAACTGTGCAAGTTTTCTTTTTCGAATGCAATGGTGTTTTAAACAGTGTATCTGACAAGCAATAAGTACCTTGATGTTGTGTTGCAGTGATTTAGCAGCTAATGTTAATCAGTGTTAGGCCTGACACCAAGTGGATCACTGTCAGATAAATACCAACATGGTACTCATCTCACATTCAAGTGACTAGCTGAGAAGATGCGGTAGACTGTAGATTGGAGGACTGTGTTTGGTTTTCTTGGTTATCAGTTGACATTAAGTCAGATGTCTTTTTCTACCACTGCAGAAGTGTGAGAGGCTGTTGCTGCACTTGTTTTGCAGTGACCTGAGTTCAAACTTTCAAGAGCCCATATCCCCCGCGGTGAGTCTGGAAGCATGTGTGACTTGGAAAAGTTCACAGGATTAATGTCACATGAAGTTACTGTAACTGTAATTTTAATGATGTGTAATATGCAGTATTTGTCAGTAAAGACAGAGAAACTTTAACCAGGTGCTGTAAATATATAGAGTATTTGCACCTAGTGAATCAAAATGAAAAATTCTAGCCTAAAAACTGTACATTGCAGTACATAAAAGGCCACATTTGTGTGCAGCATGTAACCACAGTGCCCATATTTGGCTTTTCATTATAAACCTTCACATAACGAAATTGGGTACAAATCCATAACCTCTTGTGCACAATGCTGACATATAATATAATCATTATAAATAATAGATCAACATCTGCCCATGAAGTTTCATCATTTTATTATCTCTCCCTTTCTAAATACTGTAGGTATGTGCTAATAACTGGCCGACTATAAAGAGGCCGATGAATCTTTCAACTGTGAAAAAACGACTGGAGGCTAAGCAGAGTCTGTGCTACCAAGGCACTGCAGAGTTTGTATCAGACATCAGGCTCCTCTACGGGAACTGTGCAGCTCTCAGTGAGGTAGAGTGTTTGCAAAAATCCCCCATTTTTCCAGTATTATTCAGTTCTTGACACCTGGCAGTAAACTTTTCTTCTGCTTGCATCTCAGACTGTCACAGAGGTCACCGTGGCAGGCAGGAAGCTCATGGAGCTGTTTGAAGAACACCTGAGGATCATCTTTTCTGACCAAACCTTCCCAGAAATCAAAGTGGAGATGATACCCACTGCCCCGCCTTACTCTCAAGTCTCGTCTCTTGACAATATCCCCCAGCCAGCAAAGCGCCAGCGCACATGTTCAGACTCCCAGGATGCACCAAGCTGTCCCAATGGAGAAGAGGCAGTAGTGTGAAAGCACAAATCTTCTTAATGGTTTAGATATTTGACAACGTTGCCATCACCAGCTAATATTCGAGGTTTAAAACTTTATTACACAAAACATTTATGACACAAATTCAGGTCACTAAGATGTTTTATATGTTTTATGATGAATTGAACTGCAAACAAAGACCTATGATACACATTTTCTATGTTCTGGACTAAACTGTGTTAGAGCCATAGACTGTATATAAAAAGGTTACACTGTTGGATCAACACTGATTAATCAGACTGGGATTTCATATCTGGAAATGTATACAATACATGCAGCACATTTACAGGGTACAGCTGATTGTCACCAGTCTGGTTTTTGTTACATGAAAGTTACTCATTCTTATTATAAGTCTTATTACACTGAGCTGACCAATGGTGTGGCCAGGTCTGCTGCGTTCTTCCTGTTTGGCACTCCATGTGTAAATACAGCAGTGATCAGAGGAAAGACGATAACCATGAGCTTTGATGTTTGTGGTTTATCTAATGTGGATTAAGATGAGTTACAAGCACCCCAAGGCCAGAAAAGTGAAAATGTAAAGGGGATCAAAGTAGTTATAAAACCACAGACAGTTAAAGATGTTTTTATTGTCACACATATAATCTTTCCTTGCAGAGCTACATATTTAATGTTGTAAAGGTAAATTTTATGTGACATTTCTTCACATATCATTTATTTATTTATTTATTCATTTTATCTGTTTATTTACCTGACTTATCAGATTTTATTGTGAAGGACTAAACATGTTGCATATGTTTCACTGTGTGAGACTTTTTAGATTATTTTTTAGATTAGTTTGATTCAGTTAACCTGTTCTCTTCTGCACACTCAGCATTGTGAACTGCTTTCTTCTAATATCCAATAGCCAGAACATTTAGTCATAAACATACCTGCATGCAAGTCAGTGTGCAGGTGTTTACAGTGTACAATAAAATATGATAACTTTACTCTGGGTAATGATTAATGTTATACGCATCCTTCACCTTATAACAGCATGTTAATTGAGTCTGTTAATGTTCCACAAAAAGGAAAGTATTGTTCACTAGAAAATTCCAGGGAAATTTTGAGGGCCACGGGGGCTACTGCCGGGATAGGGTTAGGGTAAAAAATCTTCTCTGTGTCACTGTAGCGATGACATCACGCAGCCCTTGGCTGTCAGAGGTCAGGTCAGGAGCTGCCGTTGCCATGGCAATGTGAAAATCTGCCCAGAATTTGGCTTCTACATGGCTTCAAACAATTGCAAATTATGAGAAACCCGTTACTTCTTTTCAAAAACCAAAAACACCGTGAGAGACACTGAAGCCAGAAGTTTCTTACAGTCTCTATTTTATTCAGATATTCCTTAAAATGAGTGAGTAAGCTCAGTACGAAGACAGAGTGAGATTCTTTTGAAAAAAAAAGACGATTACATTAGGTGTCAATGAGAGTGAGACAGGTATTGCTGCCGGACTCGGCACCCCCGTTTAAATTTTGTGCAGACCCTGCCTGTCAAAGTTACATTTTATGAATCCCAACAACTGTCTACATTTTGAGAAAGAATTATTTGTCTCCTTTTTACGGTTTGGCCGTGAGCTCGAGTTAAAAATAAAAATAAAGGTTATTTTTTACTGCTTCACGCACTCTAGCCAACTGACGCTGTCACTCTAACTTTGAAGAAAAAGTGATTTCCACTCCTCCTTTGAGTGCTCATAGTTTGAAAAGTTTACATGTCATGTAAAAACAGTTGCTGTGTTTTGGAGAGAACAGAAGTTTTCCTCCGTTTTATAGTTTGAATCACATTTCTACGTGCAGGTATGAGAGAGCTAGGTGACTCAGAAAAAAGGTGAAATTTTGTAGAAAAAAGGTGAAATTTTCTGGGTTTTTAAAGAAAATTCCAATGCATTCCTAATGCATTATTTATTCCCAGTATTTTGGGAATTAAGTAAAAAATTAAAGTAAAAATTGGAATTTTAACACCAAAAGTCATAGCACCTCTTTCGGGATCAAGACGCACGTTTTGATGTATATATTACATGTATATATTACATGATGTATTATTGTTCCGCCAAAATTTGGCGGAAGAATAATAATAAGTCTGAGGAATATTAATTAGTGCCTCGGGGCTCTGCCCCGAGGCACTCCTCTCAGCTATTCTAGCTGTAGAGGAGTGCCTCGGAGCTGAGCACCCGTGGCACTAATTAACCTCATTACAACTTAAACTTGACAGTTAAGTTAGGCTACTTTCCCCAAGTTTCTATAGCTGAGCTGAGAAACAGTGAATAAGGCCTTTGGGCCCCTCAGTCTGCCTGGATGTGTTAGTGGCTCTCTGCTGATTGACACAGACGTGGCAAGACAAGCTTTGCTGAGCTTCAAAGGAACTGTACCACACCCCCCACAACAAGATTAACACTGTCTGAATGCGACCTCGGCTCGTCTAATTTCCTCCACCTATGAGCTGTGAGGTCAGCTCATGCTGCTGTTTCTTGTTAAAGCCCAGATTGGAGGTGGAGAGGAGGAGTGAGGGTTGGTGGGTTGTGAAAGGTTTAGCAGGCAGGGTGAGTTGTACTCTAACCAGTCCAGGCTGAAGCCTGGCACTGGCCTGGCTGTCATTTTGGGGGCATTCTTCATCCCTTATATGGCCTTAAGGAGCCTGTATCTCTTTTCTGTGTTACGACTTAGGAAAAGATTAGATTAAAGACTAGTCTACAGTAAAGGGGGTACTCGCTGTGGTAACTGTTCATTTTGTAAAGGTGTTAACACTGATTTGCAAGAAAAATATTCTGAAGTTATGTAATCCATTACAATAAACAACATATCTGCCCCTGTTCTTGTCAAGGTTATGGTGTTAAAGTGTGATAATGAAAGTGCAGATCTCTGTTCTGCTTTACCAAGCAACAGAAGAGTGACAGACAAAAATAAAAGCAGACATGTTGTTCACTGTGATGGATTACCTGAGTAAGATCTCTGCAAGCTCATTTTTACACACACACATAGTGGGATGTTTTTCAAGTAGATTTATTGGAAGAAATGGAATCCAGCATTGAAAAGGGCATTTGTTTCTAAATGAGGAAGATAAATAACACAGAATTCTAACTCCCCCACCCCCATTTACACTTGAGCAGTTCTGCAATAGTGATACTACATCATATTGAGAAATAATGAGACAAGTGGCTGCCTGGAAGTCATACAAACACCATTCTTAAATTTATAATTTACTTTTTGTGGCAAATGTGATTTTTTGGCAAAACATTCAAAACACTAGTGTCGTCGCTTTAAAATATTCTTCGTCTTCTTGCCAGGCTTCTCTTATAAGAAGGCTGCAGTGCGCTGAGGAGCACAGAGATTGAGACACAACTCGTCACACACTACACTTTTACTGTGCAGTTACCCATTTATAACTGCCATAGACTTTGCGGGCTTCCCTGTATGCCTGTGGTGTCCCAATATCAAGTCCTCCGTGATGTTTCTAGACTGGCTAGACTGGTGGTGGAGACATATGGCTCTGATTAGAAGATCATTTAACCTCTCCCTGTCACCATGCCCAGAGTCAGTAGACTGATTGAATTTACAGAGAGCCTTAGTTGGTACAAAATGTTTATAATGCAGTCTAGCAATTATTTCTCCACTTCTTGCCAATTCTGGTAGACGTGTGTGTGTGTGTGTGTGTGTGTGTGTGTGTGTGTGTGTGTGTGTGTGGCATGTTCATGATCACTTTGGCTGACAGTGAGCCCACATCTGTGGTAGTGTTACAAAAGCTTTAATTTATTAACTTTAAGGGTAAATGCCTCATTTTCTTTGCTACAGCTGTAAAGTTTAGTAGCTAAAGAGGAAAATAAGCTCAGTAGGGGGCCTACAGGGAGCAGTAATACCACTGAGCAGATATCAGTGAGGGCTCAAATATAAGGGGTGAATGCAACAGCACAGAGCCAGCTTCCAATTTCATCTATCATCTCTCTTAAGGTGCAACAAACCCAACTGTAGCAGTGAATAAGTGCATTTATTTGCAGACAGGGTTGATATCCAAAAGGTTTCGAAGCTTACAGCCTGGACATAGCCACAACAGATTTTTAAAATACCTCCAAACCAGCTCCAGATGTTGAGTAATCAGTACAATCATTAGTCACAGACCGAAAAGTCTACTTTGCTATTGATGGGAAGACAATTTCCAAGTATGCATGCATACTCTGCAGCACAGTAGCCCGAAGACATTTACAGTAGTAGGCTGTACAATAACAGTGATGGCAGCTCCCTCTGGAGTACTTCAGGTTTTATACTTTATCATCAATAGCAATCATATAGAACATTTTAGAAGGAGAATTTGGTAGAATCATTCCTGTCAGAATATAGTAATAAATTACAACATAAACCAACCCCAGATGATGTTTTAACCAAAATATATTTTAATTGTAATATATTGTAAATGAGCTAACGATTAATGGCTTTAATTTGGAGTTACTACAGAAAAAAAAGCCCGGTTTGATTAGTAATGAGTCGGTGTCTGTGGCCCCAGCCCGCCCCTCACAGTGCCATAATTAGACGCTCATTCCTCCAGTCACGCTGCAACTGCGACTCACAGCTCCATCACATCCACTTCTCGGACTCAGTCTTTTCTTTTCTAAAGGAGCTCTGCTGTTTATTCACACAGCTTGCAGGGGGAAAAAGAAAACAGGCATCGGGAAGCTGAAAGCGCTCGGATCACCTACTTTTTAAATCAGCATTTAGTTGAAGCTCTCTTCATTCAATGGGTCCGCGTGTACTGCTGCTCTGCTCTCTGTTCGGAGTTCTCCTTGGCCAAGGTAAGTTACCTCTCTCTCTCTGACAAACTGCTGCGTGACGACTTTTAATGAAGACAGGCCAAAGCAAGGCGAACAATGGCGCCGGTACATGATGTTGATGTGGGGTGAATGATCTTTGGGAGATTTTTTTTTTTCAAGCATTTATTTTACAGTAAGGATCAAACTGATTGCAGACAAAGCGTGAGACTCGGAGAGGGGATGGATTTG